AAAATTCCGAATTACTTGAATATTAAAGACATTAACTGATTAATTAATGAAAAATTCGACAGAAATACCCTGTAATTTTACCATTATTAAAAATTTCAAGTATTTCCACATGAGATTTAAAATGTAATGTCCCGACAGTGTAAAAAAATCCACTAAAAGTTCAACGACCACTCCATCCCAAATGGTCAATAACTGCGCTGTAATCACAGCAATTGCAGCTTAAAAATGGTAATAATACTGCAGTATCATTAGACTAATCCCCAGAAATCGAAATTACTCGATCATTGCTCGTCAATTAATGGCGCAATTGGTGCAATTAGCGCAATCTGGGATGGTCTTTCCTGGATTCAATTATACATTTCAGTGATATTGCAGCTTGTAATCAATTGTGCATCAGTGGTGCATTGAATATTGTCCCCATGATTGTTTTCTCATTCACGTCACGTATACCAGAGACATGCTCAAGCACAAATGTCTCATCTATATTTAACAAGTCCCTTTTTTGCCATTTTTGTGAGACCTATCGATTTTTCATGTCTCGAGGGAGTCACTTCAAGTCACACCTACTGTACTTGGCAAAATCGACTGATTTTACAATGAGCCAAGCACTCAACCTCCTTTCTCGTGATCATACATTCCTCTTCTGTTATTATTATTCTATTTCGGGTGATTAGTATTTTTATGGAATTACCAGAGAAAATTGATGCCATTGCTGCGATAATGAACGAGATGATTACACCTGGCCCGGCTACACTTCGAGCCACCATTCCAGCAACTAGGTACATGCCTGTACCAACACATGACCCAACACCTAGGGACGTCAGGTCTAGGGTTGTCAGGCACTTCTGTAATTACAAAAAGTCGCCGCATTATTACTCTTCAGCAATTATTACAGCTATTTTCGCTAATAAATTAGCTATTCCTCTCCAAATGGCTTCACTTTTCCCATTTCTGTACTCATTGTCTCTTCCAATTTTCAAATCAGGTATCAATTAGTCAATATCATTCCAAATGTAATGTGCATTTTATATCTCTAGTTTTGTAGATAAATCGGGATAATTTTTTATTATGGAATATTTACGAAAAATAAGGGGATCATTGCATTTTTGAGAAATTGCTAGAGCTAATGTTGCTAATGGATTTGCAATCTCCTTCTGAATAGCTTCTGTTTGTCATTATTATTTCAGTATATTCTATCCTATATTTTATGTGATAGAATTGAAACAACAATTGAACAACTGAAATCCCACTGAGACTTATGAATTATTAAAAAATGATTCTATAACCACGCGGAAATAATTTCAATAAAAATTACGTGAAACATTTGTTAGCTCGAGAGCGAAATGCCACTCAAACAAAAATTTAAAAAGCAACGTGAATGCTCATGTGATGTTGAATAAAAACTCCGCGGAAGTCACGAAAATTTCTGCTCGTGACATTATTTTTCACAGAAGATCCTGTAGTTTTTTTAATATAAAAATAATCTGAAACTCTCAGGTCATTTTTACAAAGTCACAATCGCGAAATTGTTTATATGAATTTTTTAGCTGACATTGAATGTCCAAAAGCAAGAACTGAAAAATTACCCTTCGACGATTACAAAGATTACAAAAAATTGCTAAAATCCCTCAAAATCGGATATTTACATAATTAATGTGAAAACATTATTTCTATTTTGGATTTTAAGAGTAGTCTCGTTCTTTCCCCAATAGGAGAGACAAGTTGAGTTTATATTCAGTAAGCGAGAAACTTCACAAATCACTTTGTGTAATTCAATTTTGGTCGAGTTTTCGCGGTGAAATTTTGAATTATCGTTGAGAATGTAATCACAGAATGTTGGTCAAACAATGGCGAAGTTAAAAAAAAAACCCCATACATGCACTGGCGGGATATTGGGAAAGTTTTTGGTGATAACCGCTGAGCAGAACTGCTGGTCACAAGTTTTCAACAGCTAGAAGTCTGGCCTCACGTGCTTCGTAAAATAAAACAATTGATTGTTTGCTCGACTGGGGAATGGTAATACCAGTAAATAGGAATTTCGTGGAGGGAAAATTACAGCTGCAGAGTATGAAAAAGGTATTACAAGAGAGAAATGCACAGTTTTTGCAGGGGCGGGGGAGTAATGGGTTCCATTACTCCACTCTGAATTGTAAATTTTACATTTTCCCTGAAGTTGTGAAAATGCTGAGTAAATAACGCTGAATATTTTTCAAAAAATAAACCATTGAGATTAATTCACTCGACTTGAGTTGAAATAAATAGACTGTAATTCAGTGGCAAAAGCTATCGTTCGAGTAAATATTTATTCAATCTGAGATATTGCTGTTTGAATTTGTCGTGAGATATGGAAATTAGTCTTGAATATCAATCCTGTTTCAATGGTGACAAATAATTTAACGTTTCAACTCGTAAAACATAATAGTACAATTGGAATGTTCATTACGTGTGAAGCGGAATCGACTGGTCATGATTTTCCCTATATATTCTGCTCATGTATTTGTGGTACAGTTTGGTATGTGAAGTTGAGACATCAATTTCAGCGTGATATCGGATTAATTGGAAATGTGTCACGGTAATGACGGAACGTTGTGGGATTAATTGCTGGTAGTCAGGGTACGGTGCGGACAATTCGCATGTTCCAGATTCACTCGAGATATTCATATCGGGATAAAAATCATAATTGCCACTAATGTGTGAAAATTTCCCACCTCCGTAAAACCATAATGCAACTCAATGGATTTCAACCCCATCTGGGGTTGGGTTTCTCTGCGTCACATTGTTTAAATATTTCCACGTTATTCCGTGTAGTAAACGACGATTTTACGCACGTCGTAATAGAAAATTATTTACAAAATACGTGCGGTATAGATTTATATTTCGCATATATGCCGTTTTCCGTTGAAAATAGTTCTCTAATTATTTTGTTAACGCTATAGTAAATACATTAGGTATTTACTACAATCGATGGCAAATAGAATTAAGTCAAGAATTCATTTTTTTTTTTAAAAGAAAGTTTTTGGCAAATTTCAATAAAAATGTGTGTTTTTAGTGGACGCTTCATTTTCTCTGTGTACAGCTCCTGTTTTAAAATCTCAAAAAATTAAAATTATATCATTAAATGTAGTTCACGTTCTGGAAACAGAAGGAGGTTTCCTTCTTGGTCTCTTTTACTTCGTTAATAACGGTCGGGATTTATCTAATTTTCATTACGTAGTTGAGTATTCCACAAAATGGGAATTTCTCATTCGGATTTCAATCAATACCTGGCACTAAGCGTACATTTAAAAAATGAATCTTACGATAAAAAATTCTGCTATCAGGATTGAAAAATTGACAATCAAAAATGAAGAGTTGACATTAACA